TAAATTTTCAAAATTTCAATGCTATCAAGAGCTAATAGAAAAATTCAAAATCAAATAAAATAATTTTAACAATCTCAATTAAAGATATTAAAAAATATTGAAAATAAATTTTTAACGCATTCACTGAAGACACTTAATTCATTATAAAATCGTTATCAGTACTTAAACAATGCAAAATAAATTATTATTATTTAATCATTACTGCAAAATAGATTCTAGTATTAATAATTAAAACCAAAGGTCAAAATATTCTCATGTTTTTTACGTTTTCTAAAAAATAAATATTTAAGTTATATAGTTTTTTAATATAATAAAAATCTATTTAACATATTAATAACGTTATTCTATGTATTGATTATCTATAAGAAATTCAATTTATGAATGTTATATTGGAATACTCTTCCAAGAAAAATAATAAACATATGCAAGTCTAACTTTTTATAAAATTTTAAATAACATTTTACATTTTACACAAAAATATCGATCAAATTGAATTCCATTTCATTTTCTTGAACCCTATACAAAGCACCAACACTTCAAAGACATTTAAATAAATATCATTAATCAAGAATAATCATTTACAATTTAGCCTCAACCACTAATAAGAAATGCTTTTTCGTATATTTTTGAAATACTGTATATACAAAAAGAAAGAAGATATTTCGAATTCATCACTATCCCATTTAGAAGGCAATTGTTCCAAAAAACATTGAATCAATAAATGTTTTAATCTACTACTATCAATTTAGTTCCATTCTCCATGCTAATAGATTCTACTTCTGAAGATGGCTGAACAGTTGTATTCTTAACACGCACAAAAAGATTATTGATATTTTGAACTCATTACACAACAATTTCCTTTTAACTCTTCGCTATCGAGTTTAGAAAGCAGTTTAACGACGTTGCTCTACTTGTGAACTGTACCGGCTACGTTTAAATGCCAGTTTTATAGACCAAGAATACGATTCAGTAAATTATTGCGAATCTTACTTTTCCCCATTCGTGTTAGAATTTCCGTGGCCCTATATATAATATGCTAGGAAAGTTTAAAAGGAGGGAGAGCGCAATTCTTTACGACTTTTTATGAACAGAGTTAGATACTTAAGCCTCCCCCCCCCCCCCTCGTCTTTTCGAGGTTCTGTCCGAGGTTAAAAAGATTTCAATAAAAACGGGAAACAGGCTAAGGACTTTTTCTCTGATCGGATAAAGTCGTCCACATCGTTTACTCGAATCCTGGCATATGCTTCTTAAAAACGAGTTTCCAAGTAAGGAAATTTTTATGGACGAAAGCCAAATCGAATGCTCGAGTTTGTTCTTGTATAAGCTTGTGTAGCTTGTTAGAATTAAAAAAAATCTTAATGCGAAAGATTTCTTTAAAGAAATTTTAAAGAGAATGGAGTTGGAGTATAATAGAATGTCTCAGTGATCGGAGAAAATATTGCTTCGTTAATTTTTATTTTTTGTAAATAGGATATTTATGCAAAATTTGAATGTAGAAATGTTCAATATATAACATGTATTATGATATTTAAGAAGTGAAGTGAATATTTATTTAGACATTTTTATCAATTTTTATGAAAAATATGATTTTGTAAAATCTTTAGTTTATTTGTGAAAGATTTCTTGAAAAATATTTTATTCTTGTGGCGATTTTTTTCAAATACATAATTTGTTAAAATTTATTCTATTTCTATTATTATATTATTATAATAATTATTATATTATATTATTATATTAAATATTTCTAAACGAACTTGAAACGTATTGTAATAAGAAAAATGTTCAAAAATATTGGTTACTATGAAAGATCAATAGTGATTCACAAAAATACAATCGATATAATATATTTATACATAAATATCCATAAAAAAAAATAAAATATTATTATTTCCAGTAAAAATATTCATTTTTTAAAAAAATTATTATATAACATGATTACAAAATTATTTTGAAGATTATCTGCAATATGAATTTACAATGTTTTATTTATCTTTCCAAATAAAATCGTGCAAAACAATTGGTAACAATCAATTTTTAATCAAACTTCAAACAATTCAAAATCCGACATATATTAAATTCAACTCAGGGTTCCTCGATCGATCGAAGAATCTTGAATTACGAAAGGAGCTTGAAAAGGAACAATGGGTGAGACGATGCATTTGAACTAAATAAGAACGACAAAAAGAAAAAGAAATTCTAGGGGACGAGAGATGAAACGAAAGTAATTCTTCAGGCTGTTCGTCAACTCGTATTGAGCCGGGTGTTGAGCGACCCTATCGAATGAAATACGTACATAAAACGAAGGTGACATGGTGGAAAGGTCGAGGAAAAGAAAAATACAGTCTGCTCGAATCCAGTGCACGTAGCCCCGACAGAACGAGCACAAAAGAAAATTGTGGCGATTTCGACAAAGATATTTCGAAACCAGTTCCAGTTATAAAAATTTCTCATTAAATTAGATCTTTAAAATATAAGTTCAATTACAATTAATGTAGATGAAGAACAGTTAATGTAGGAAAAATTTTCATAAAACTATGAAAGTTATATTCTGACTATAAATACAGATGTAGTTTAACAGAAACGTTGAAATAATCATAATTAAATGAAATGAAAATATTATTATAATAATATTATTTTACGAGTTGTATAAATTTTTGACAAGTTTTAATTTTGTTATTTGTTCTTTGTGAAATTATAAAGTTATTACAAAGTTTATACAATGTAATAAGAAACAAAATAAAGAAAATGATATTAATTATTCTAAAAAAGAGATTCAATTACTGTTGTTTACAGTAACATTGTTTTCAAAAATGGCCGATCTTGAGAAATTTTCATGAAATTATCGAAGAATCTTGAGAAATGAAACGTCACGAAAGAAAAAGATATTGTTGGAGGGAATATCTATGGAGTTTAAAGAAACTCTTTAGAAGAATTTCATGAAACGATATTTCTTCAGCTTGTTGAATCGTTAAAGATACAATATACATTTCTACGTGAAAACAAAGAAAAAGAGAAAACATTTTAAAAAAAAACGAATCAAGAGAGAAAGAAAGAGGAAAGAGATATTGTAATATTCTGCGAAGAAAATTGTAATTTCTCTGAAGGAAATCTTATAAAATAGTAATTGGTGATTGGCGAAAAATAAATTTAATCGAAATATTAATATATTTATAATTTGTTGCATATATTCTCTTTTTGTGAAATTTATACGCAAAAAATAATTCTTGATTATTTCTTTATGTTATATAAAAATCATATTTACATCCATTTTTTAACTTTTATTAGAAGATAATCTTTCTTTTATTATATGTTTTTGAATGTATTTAAATCATTGAAGTTTTAAACCTTGGAAAAATTGCATATTTTCAAATTATTTGCAAACAACTATGTAAGAAATTTATACAAATTTTATCAATATCACCAATAAGTATCACAATAAAAATATATGAAAATTAGCATTCTATTGAGATAATAAAGAGCTTCGATTTGACCATTCACGATTAATTTAATAAATAAACAAGAATGTCGAATTATTTATATACAGATTATCATAAAAGTTACCATAATTTAATAACAGCAACGTAGAAAAGCAATAATAAAGTAGTATCCCAAGGAATTTATAATAAGATCTATCGGGCAAAGAAAATTAATAAATATCCTAAGCACGAGAAGCAACGGTTTCATGCGGTATCAATAAGTTTCTGACAAAGCGTTCAACGAATCGCGAGTAATACCGCAAAGCCGAGTTGAACGTGACGGAGAGAGGACTCGAGAGGGTGGAAGAAAGGAAAACTACTGTCCGAGTGGAAACGTGGCCGAGGTATGTGGCGAATCTCGAATAAGGAGAAAGGAAGAACCGAGATCGAGAAAGTGGAAGGAACGAAGAGAGGATTTGTAGATCCGTCTACGAAAAGGAAATACAAGTCTAATCTTTTCCGACCGGCCAACAAGTCTGACCAAGGCTAGCAACCGTCGCTGCCACTATTGATTCTCCTTTATTCTCCTTTTCTCGTTCTTCTGAGAAGAATTGAATCTTCAATTCTTTCGATCCTTGCGAAGCTCTTTCTCCTCTTCTCACACTATCGTTACTTTCCTCTTCACCGTTCGTACATATCTTACGAAGAATCGTCTCGAAATGTTTATTTAATTCGAGAAATGGTAGACAAATACGGTGAATTTGTCTTGTTGAAATTTTGTTCAAAGATTCTATTAAGTTCGAAGATTCAAAAAGTTAATAGTCAAAAGAATTTGAAATTCAAAGATTCGAAGATTTTAAGACTCAAACAATATTTAATTATTTAAGGATTGAAAGAATTGAAGGATTTAAAGATACAAAGATAGATCACTCAAAAATATTAAATTAAATCTAATATCAATCAAGAGAAAGACGAATGTTTATTAACAAAAATTACTAGATAAAATCTACTATAAAGTATTATTTAATTTAAGAAATTATGTTTGTTTCGAATAAGCGATTTTTATTCATCAAATATATAAAATTTTTTATCACCAGCTTAGTATTTATTTGGCAATCGTGAGCCGCGGGGTTTTCATAACAAAAGCATGAGCTCTTGAAATCCGACCTAGAGAATAAACTCCTCTCAAGCCGTGGCTCACTCATGCGGCAAGATGAATCGTGTATCAGAAACAATCCTCTTGTCGAGCGCACAAAGCAGTAAAACAACTATTTCATAATATTATGTAATATACAAATTTCAGAAACCTCGCTCTTAACCAGCATCTATTCCTTGAGAAGCTTTGGCAAACGTAAATGAAAAGCTTTCGATCTTTAAATGGAACCGTTCGCACAAAGACACAAAAGAGAAAATCACGGAAGAGAAATAGAAAGCTTTGTTCGCTTTTAAATACAAGAAAAAATCGAATGCAGAATTATCATTTATAATATTTCTTTTTTGGAATGACCGAGGCAAGAAACGCGATATCAGCGTTGGTTAATTGACGCAGAAAAGAGGTTGTGAATTGTATTCATCTGTACTCACAAGTGGTCCTGCCGCTTGAACGCCTTGCCGCACATCGTGCACACGTATTTCCTCTCGTCACTGTGCGTCAGCTTGTGTTTCGTGAGCGCCGATGCGTTGTTGAACACCTTCCCGCAGACCTGCAGACAGAAATCGTGAAACGTGTCAGCGTGTCTTTGTATTGATGTTCCATCTCTGGCAGTCAGCTTAATTGATTATTTATGATCTCGAGGTTATGGCTCAAGGTTGGGCGAGTTTATATCGCTACGGTAAAATGAACTGTTCGTACAATAAGAGAAATGGCGGAAATAGAAATGTTACTAAGCACGGAAAATTAACGTTAAATCAAGGAAAGCAGAAATTTTACGTACATCTATACATGATGATTGATGTTGAATGATAGCTCGAGATCGAAAATATACGTCGAAACACAATGATTCATAATAAACACTTTATTACACACGATAATATTTTATTACGCACGAGACAATGACACATTTGTTGCGCGTGACTTTTCGTTACTGCTCGCGCCATCCTGCGCCGAGAACACCCGAACAGACCCGAAAGGATCCGAAGAGACTTCGGATTCGAGCGATAACGCCCGCGATATTTGAAGGTATTATAATAGTTGGATTGGTTTAATTATTTCGAAAAATTTAAATCTTTATCATAAAATTTGTTTGAATCTAATGATATATTGTTTATTTTTTATTTTTTATAAAACTATCAATATAAAATTATTCGAAATTATATATTTATTTATCGAAAAAGTTGTAATCTCTTCTAAAATGAATATATTAAAATTTAAAAAAGATAATTGTATAAATTAATTAATATTTTCAATAATATTCACGACATATTTAAATATAGAATGTATTAAATAATATGAAAAATTTTTTTAAGTATCACAGATACTCAAATAAATGAGGATCAAACATATACACATGTATCAATATTCTTCAAAATATAATATTCGTTGAGATTTTTTTATTCCAGCAATTCGAAATAGTTGACAAACTGGCAAAATGTAATTTCAGCAAATCTATATTTGGCTATTAGCATTACGTGAAACACATTTTCAGAACCGTCTAACATTTGACACATGTTACTGCCAACCGTGCGAATGTGCTTGACGTAGACGGCACTGCTACATGCCCGCGTACACACATTTCCTAGTATCCATTAATGACTGCATTCCAAAAATACATCCAGCTTCCTGTGTTTTTTACGCTACAGAACAAATATGCACGGTGATGCTTCTATTATTTCTCCCTATTTCCACTGGCCACAGCTTTACTTGAATTTTTACAAAAATATTCGAACATGAAAAGTGCAAAAAAAGTATAAAATTTTCATAACAAAATTTAGAAACAAATATAGATTTTAATTAAGATAGATAAGATTTACTTGTTTAATATTATTGTTATATCATTTACAATTAATAGTTTGACGATTTAGATTTTATATCATAATTCATTGATAGTATAGAATATTTCGTTGAATTGTAACAGCATTGTAATTTAATCCATATTATTTTCTATAAAATATAGACACAATTACCTATTCTTTCTCAAACTGACGAATCAGTTTAATATTATTTAAAAAAGAAAAATTAAATCTCAATCGAATAAACGATCGATCATGTTATTAAGCATTATAATATGCAATTTAATATCTTAGAATTAAATTTTCTCAAATATCACAATATTTTTAATTTTTCAAATAAAATTTAAAAAATTCTATTCTAAAGAACATAATGTAATTTTGCTATGAAAATATTAAAAAGATGATATATGGTATATCTTAGTGGATTAAAGTATTTTTATAAACTACAAATTACAAATTTACAAATACTTTAATTAATATTAATATTATTGTTATACAGATCAAAAATCTTCTTAAAAAATTTAATTATTCTCCACCTAAGACATTAACGATACTTCTCTAGAATAATCAATTCAATTAAATCTTAATGATTTAATTGATGAATCCAATCGAAACGGGTGAAAACTTGGTTCCAACCGAAATCAAGTGGCGATCGACGACGAATCAAGTGTAACGACTTCCAATTCGTGCTTTCAATAATCGAAGCGCGTATCGCGCGAATGGTTCGCAATTCGCAATCGCGTGTTTTGAACGGTTCATTACGAACACGTGAAACAGAACGAGGCTGGACACGATTTTCAATTACCACACGTAGCCATCGTAAAGCCAGGCCGGACGCGCTTTACGACAGACATTAGAACGACAATAATAAGATATCATTGCCCCATTGTGAACGCCGCGTTTCCACGTTCTTGTTTGCCGTGTTTTCAGAATTATCTGCTTTTCTCTGAGATATTAATGCAAATAATCACTTCTTCTTTTTATTACTATTCATGATGCTTTATTATGCAATTTGTCAACGATAAGATTTATTATTTATTTTATTTACTTATTTCTATTATATTCTTTTTTCATTTAAGTCGGTTATTTATATGTTCGATGAATACAAAAATAAAAATTTTGTCTCCAAAAAAAAGAGAAGAACTAGAAGTAGGCTATTTTTTGACAGAATATCAATTATTCTGTACAATTTCTATAGATTCTATAGATTCTCGGATAATAAAATAGATTTTCTGATTGGAATTGAGCAAGGGTTGCTTTATTTTTATGAATCCATCAGTTATAGAGGAAAATAGGGTCGACAAATATATACATTATTTTTTGATAGATTTTTTATGCATCCTTACGCATCGCCTATCTATTTTGATAACTGGCAGAAAAAGAAATAATATTCTTTATTGCCTTAGAAATATTACCTTTAAATATTCTCAAATATTATAATTATCCTCGATTACTTTTCATAAATTTTCACAATAAAGTATAAACAAATAACATTATTACATTTAAATAAGTTGGATTAAAGATTATAAAAAAAAGAGGCACATACTTGCCCAAGAATATCGAAATTTTTCAATTTTCTCTGTGATATTTTTATTCTCATATTATATTCTCCCATAATTCTAATTAAAACTTAGAGAACGTAAAACTATATATTCAAATTAATATGTCAAAATTATCCAAGATTTGATCCTGCCAATGCCACTATTTTTAAAAGATAAATTCTTCTTTGAAACCTGATCCAAATACAAGACAATACCGTATCCTACAAAATTCCTAATTAACGTGAGATGTTGGCATGGCATTTCACGTGTTAACAACAAGCAGCTCGAAGACATGGTCGAGGGTGTCAGACATGGTATGCCTGTTAAGTATGTGGAATTGAGTTTATTACTCGGGCAGGGGCGTGTACTATTTCACCAACTATTTCAGGAAGCTAAAGACCGAGGCCCTGTGCGCGCATGGACCCTGTTTCATTTGAAAGTCCCATGGGACGCGCAAGAACACCCGGAATTGGCGTCGAATTTGCCTTCGTCGAATATCATGTGAAATTCCATGGCTCAAATTTAGCGAGGAACGGACAACGTTCACTGAAATTCACCTCATTCCTTTATGTTCTTCTTTAGCTCATTGCCGTGATTAAATGATTCTAAACTTTTACAAATGAATCGAAAAAATAGAAAAAATACACATATAATACGTATATTATGTATAAATATGTATTATTCAGCATATATTTATATTTATAAAAACTGTACAGTTTTTATATTCAAAAGTAATGAAAGGAATAATGAAAGAGTCTGTATTATAAAAAAACAAAAGATATAGAAAGTGAAGAAGTAACGTAATGAAAAACGAAAATGTCGATGAATCCAAATGAATGTGGAAAAATATTTATCTCGGCTTGTTTAGTGGAAATATGCGAAATATGAATCTAAAAAGAAATTTGTATTAAACAAGAGCAATGTGTGTAATTATGTCATAATTATAGCTATTTCTAAAAGAACAACTTCACTATTCGTATAACATTTCATTTCGTAAGGATATATAAACATATTACAGTTAAAACTCATCAGTTTTATTTATATTTATACTTTATTATATTTATAATTATTTCAACGTCGTCAAATTATAAATTTAATAAATAAATCTCGTACATTAATCTATCAAAAACCACTTTTACATTTGCAAAAAATATTATTATTATATATTATATCACAATGTAAATAATTGCTAGGAAGAAAACAATTATATAATTCTTTTATTATAAAAATTCATCGATATAAAATATTAAAAGTATACAGTATGAATATTCTTAACTAGCCTGAATTTCTCCTATTACAAACTAATTTGGATTAAATTCACTTTTCGTTTTCGATAGCATTCGCTTCTATTCACAATTAATTATGAAAATTGAATTTTAAAAATTTATCACACGCATCAGTTTCTTCATTTCCAAATTTTGCACTCATTCTCCTCACGATCCTTCTCGATCCTCGATCTCTTACAAAATTCGACTTTCGAACCTTCCCCTAGAAATCTACGCGCATCAAAAGCTCGTCGCGGCGCATCGAAAATCCACCGCCCGGTATTCGCATCGTTAAGTCGAAATTAATTTCCAATGCAGCTGCGGCCAACACGTGGCGACGCGGCCCGGCTCCATTATCGGAAAACTTCTTTCCACTTTTCGTTTCGCCGTTATTTTCATCGGTTCGACTCGGCTCAATCGAGCCTCCCCCTCCTCTTCCACGAATGCGAATAAGTCGCGTACTCGAGACTCGTCCGCGGAAATTTCTCTCGCCTTCCAATCGAAACCAACTTTCTCTCCCTCGTCCCGGAAACTTCCGTTTCCCTAATGGAACGGAGAAGAAAGGATAAACCGTCGACTCAGCGATCATTGATACTTGAGCCGTGAAATTTACTGGATTCGCGGAACCAGCGTCGAACAACTCGAGGGAAGCTCGCAGAATTTCGATATTAAGAGGAAATATATATTTTTGTATTCTTTTTCTTCTTCTTCCCCGTCGTTCATCATCCGAGGGGTATATATCTTGGAAAGAAAAAGATAGGACGCATCCATCGTGTTTGCTACGTTTTCCGATCGAATAGACGATTTCTAATTTTATTGAAACATTTTTCATTTTGGACGATAGATTTTTTGAAAAATTGGAAAAGTTATGAAATATGTAATAGGTTTGGAAATTGAGGAGAGCGTCGGTTATTTCAACTAATTGGGAAACAAATTTGTTTGCAGAAA